CGCGGGGCTGGCTGTCCGGCCGGGGGCGGGGCCGGGGCCAGGGTCCAGCTCCGGGCCTCTGCGGCCATCTCTGCCTGCGAGGTCCGTTCCCCTCGCCCGCTCCCCGCCCTCCCGGGCCGAGTGGGGCCGGCTGGCGTCGGCAGCCTCTCCCGGAGGGGCACCGCGGTTTCAGGGGCTGGAGCTCCAGCGCAGCGCAATGTCAGGCGCCGTGACAGCTCTGTGAGTCCCAGGCCGCGGCCGTGGCGCTGGGTGGCGGCAGGGCCGGGCCGGATCCGCTCATGGTGCCGCCACGACGCCATCGCGGGGCAGGAAGGCCAGGTAAGCAGGCAGGGGAGGGCCCCGAAATGACCCGATGCCAAAACCGGGACCGAGCGCCCATGAACAGTTCCACCTCCAGCCCTTGGTGGCAGCCGAAGTGGCCTGACCAAAATGGTAACGGTCTATAGGCGCGGAGTGAGGGGGAGGCTGACAGGGGCGTGCTAGCCCGGTGCAGACTGGCAATTGGGGAAGCTACCCGCGCACCGCCGTTTCAGGGCTTTAACTCGCTCCCTGGGGAGGCGTCACTGGCTTCACTTTTTTTTTTCCTCCAAAATGAGGGGAAGGATTCCCTTTAACAGCTGCTTCCACACCATTCTCCCGAATTGCTATATCGATCTAAAATATCTAGATTATAGTGATGGGTGGATGGAGAAGGGTGTCGTATCCTTTCCCTTTACCGCATGAGTGATTGGAAACGTGCCCCCAAGACTCACAACAAATGAAATAACTGAACTCCACTCGAGGGGATTCTAGACAGAATAAGACACTTAGAAACAGACGCGTGTCTAGACGTCCCCTGGGGTGGATTCCTTTGGAGAGAGACTTGAGAGGCGAATGGAGTTCTGTATTTATGAAACTCGGAGAAGCTATTTTCCAGTAGTTAGTTATTCTTAAATATGCAGTTTGTTGAATATCGCTTCCCCTCCCCCCGTACCATGTACTTTTCTGAGGATTTGAAGTCTAGAGAATAGTATTCATTATATTTAATACTCTGATTTTTTCTTTCATTTTAAAGATGAGTAGAAAAAAAGATGTGATCAATCTTATTTAAAGTTCTTCACTTCTGTTTAGGTGCGCTGAGTTCTTCACCTCCGTTTAGGCTCAGATCTGCCAAGTTGTCAGGCACTGCCCTTGAAGATCTCAGAAAGGCCTTTAAAATAAGGTAAATTCCTCACGTTTTATTTATTTTGTGACTTTCAAATTGAAGATTAGCCAACAATTGTCGGATGTTTCTGTTATACTAATTTTGTCACTTTTATATGGTTGTTATTTTCAAAAACCCTCTGTTTGTTTTCTAAAACACAGACTGCAAATGGTGTGTGTATTTATCATGAACCGAATGAATTCCCAGAGCAGTGGTTTCACTCAGCGCAGGCGAATGGCTCTTGGGATTGTTATTCTCCTACTTGTTGATGTGATATGGGTTGCATCCTCAGAACTTACTTCGGTATGTAATTCCTGTCTTGCAATATAATAATATTCCTGTTAATCATTACTATCTCTCATGCTTACTTAAAGCAGTATTTTGAATATTGTTGAATTAGTTATGTTTTCTTTGATATTGAATTGGCATCAATTCAAGTTGAAACTGAAAGGATACTTTTTGTTTTTTTTATACAGTTTTCTTGGATCTTTTAGGGATGGTTATTTAGAAAGTGAGATACATATATATACACATTTTCTTATTATTTGAAGGTGTTCCTGTTTCTTCTTTTTTCCTGAATTTCTTTCTCAATAAGTAACTATTTTCTAGGGGAACATCCATCTAGGATCTAAAACTATTTGTCACCATTTAGTAGAAAATAAGAATGCCTTTGGATAAATGAGTGAAAATGATCAGAATTTTCACGTACAGCTCACTATTTTGCATACGCATGGGTGCGTACACATTTATCTGTTTGCTAATTCAAACTCTGTAAAGTACAGTGCCTTTAGTTAAATTTTATTTTGTCTTTATTGATGACCTATTGGTAGTAATGTGGTATTTTGAGTTCACAGGATAGTTTTTCTTTCTATTTCTATAGTTACTTTATTCTGTTTGGTTAATGATCCCTATATAAAGACAAGCAATGTAATTTTCAGAAATTACTGCATTTCAACTTAAATGTTGCAATCTTAAGGCTAATATACAACAGGAAACTAGTATTTATAAAGTGACCTTGAATGTCAAAAGAAGCAGTTTGATAGTGCTGGTCATCTCACGTCATAGCTAAGTAAATAGTTGACATTGACATATCCAATGAATAAATAAATTTTTAGCCTTTTTCGAATTAGGCTCTGGAATACAACAGGCCGTTTTTTTTTTTTAACTCGTCTATAACCTTTCACTCTTTAATAACTTTTAGATTAACATTTTGTAGTTTAAATACAAAGAAATCTCTTTAATGTTGATAGGGAACTAAGTCTATCTTTAAAATTTTATTTTAGTTTTAAATAGTTTGGTTTTTATTTATCAGGAAATAAAATGTAGGACAAAAGAGCTCCTGATTAAATTATAATTTAGCAATCCATATCTAAGCAGAGTAAATAAAAAACAAAAAACTTGTTCCTATTTTTGAAAAAGTAACATCTGTTAGCAAGAGAATATTTTGCAATTTCATTATCCAAGAGCATATGTAATGTGTCTAATTCTTCAGTCAAGTATGCTTATCAAACTTTTGAGGTAAATTGTGTATTTCAAAAAGAAATTCTTTTTATTAAGGAAAATTTCTAACATATGCAAAGTTGAGAGAATGGTATAATGAATTTTTATGTGCACATCATTTACCTTTAACAATTACCAAATCTTGCCAATCTTTTTTTTTTTTTTTTGAAAAAGATTTTATTGGGGAATTGGAGGAGGGGAACAGTGTTGGGGAATTGCGGAAGGGGACCAGCCAAGTTGTTGTTCTTCAGTCTTCATTGTGGAGGGCGCCAGTCCCCATCTGGCTTCCTGTCGGCAGCTCGTGGCCTCTAAGTTCAAGGTGTTGTGCTCAACCTTAGTTGTGGATGGGCATAGCCACCATCTCATGCGGGAGTTGAACCCGGCAGCCTTGTTGTTAAGAGCGCATGCTCTATCCACTGAGCCATCCAGGCGGCAGCTCAGCTCAAGGTACTGAGTTCAGTCTTAGTTGCAGGTGGGCATAGCCCACCATTGAACAGGCAATCTTGTTGTTACACCAGCTGAGCCATTCCGCCACCTGTTGGCATCTCAGTGACAGCTCAGCTCGGGTGCAGCGTCACCGGCTCATGTGGGAATCGAACCGGTGGCCCCATTGCTCAGAGCTCACACTCTTACGCCAACTCTTAACCAACTGAGCCACTCAGCCAGCCCAAATTTTGCCAGTCTTATTAACCCCTTCCCAAACATTTTTTCAATAAATTTTTATTTTTCAATTACAGTTGACATACAAGTATTATATTAGTTTCAGGTGTACAACATAGCCAAATATTTTTTTCCTGCAGTATTTTAAAGCAAATTCTAGCTATGTGTCATTTCACCTAAAAATTCTTTCATATTCATCTCAAACTGAAAAAGACTTAATTTTTAAAAATATAATCACTGTGCCATTAACATATCTAACTCCTTAAAAATCGGATACCTAGTCCATAGTTAAATTTCTCTAGTTGTGTCAAGGACATCTTTTTAGTTTAAGACCTAAACAAAAATCACACATTGCATTTGTTTTAACTTAAGTCAGTTTTATTCCTTACGCCTTAACTGTGTTCTCCCTCCCCCGCTTTATTGTTTGTTGTGTCATTGATTTGTTGGAGAAAGTGGATCATTTTTCCTTTAGGATAATTCACACTGTCTTAGTCCGTTTGGGGTTCTATGACAAGGTTACCATAGCCTGGGTGGCTCCAGCCACAAACATTTATTTCTCACAGTTCTGGAAGCTAGAAAGTCTAAGATCAAGATGCCGGCAATTCCTGTGTCTGGTGTGGAGCTGCTTCCTAGTTCTTAGGTGGCAGTCTTCTCAGTGTCCTCACAAGGCAGGAGGGCTGGGAGAGCTCTCTCGGGGGTTCCTTTCTAAGGGCACTGATCACATTCATGAGGGCTCCACTCTCATGACCTAGTCACCTCCCACAAGCCCCACCTCCTAACACCACCATATTGGGGGTTAGGATTTTAACATGAATTTTGGGGGCACCCAGATATTTAGCCCATAACACACATATTCTGGATTTGGCTGGTTGCTTCTTTGGCATGTCATTGAACTTGCTCCTCTTTCTCTTTTATTTCCTGTAAAATGGTATTTAGTTGTAAAGTCTTCTTGATTCAGTTTCAGTTTTTATGAAAAAAATATGTTGGTGGTACTAGGTTCTTCCTTTCACATTACAACATGAGGCACCTAACTTAATGCATGCAGTTACTTTGGGTGATGCCAATTTGAGGTTGATTCCTCATCAACCTTTAGGTAATAATTGAATATGCTTGTGATTATTGCCCAGATAGAATATTTCATTAGGGCTTATAAAGTGGTGACTTTTATAAGGCTGCATTTCTTCTGTATTTATTAGCTGAAATTCTTGAAGGAGAACTTTGCCACAACTACTGTTTGGTTATCCTAAAACTTATTTCATATAGGAAAGATTGGATCAATCTTGATTTTTTTCCCTTTATTTGTTTCAGAGTAATGTTGCCTAGAAACTTCCAGTAGCATCAATTGAGGGTTTTTTGAATATCATCATAGATTCATAGACTTGTGTATATTTGACACATCAAACAATTGTAGTTTTTTGTTTGGATGCTTATACTGTCCTATCTTTGACCACTGGGAGCCCCTTCAAATTGGCTCTAGTGTCCTTTTATTTTTTTAATTTTTTAAAATTTTTCTTTAAAGATTTTATTGGGGAATTGGGGGAGGGGAACACACAAGCTGCTGTCCTTTGGTTCTTCAGTCTAGTTGTGGAGGATGTCGCTTCACTGGCCCAAGTTGGTATTGCACTCTTCCCAGATGAGGCAGATCGTTCACCGGCCACTGGACAGCCGCTCACAGTGGCTCTTGGCAGCTCACTCCAGCTGCTGGCCACTCACGCTGGCTCCCAGCCACTCACGGTAGCTTATGGCAGCCTACTGCAGCTTCACTGCAGCCTACACCGTTGCCAGCAACTCAGGGCAGCCCAGCTCCAGGTCGAGCTGTTGTTCACCATCTTAGCTGTAGAGGGTGCAGTGCCACTGGCCCTCATGTGGGATCTGAACTGGGGTCCTGCTGCACATAGCTGGCATCCCAAGCCAGCTCTTAACCAACGCACCACTCAGCTGGTTCGCTACTGTCCTTTTAATATTACCCCATTAATCTTTAATATTCTATTTGCTTTCCGGCACAAGGTACCCAGGGCTTATCTGGTACATTTTCTGCCCCATACTTGGATGTAGCCATTTCTTCAATAATCCATGTTTTCTTTTAGTGTAAACTAATTCAGATCACTACCTGGATTCTAGAGGTTTTCATTCCCCCAGGGTTGTCATTTTTTTCTAGGCCTTTCATTGCACATAACTAGGAAATTCTTTTAGAAAAGAAAAAGGTGAGTTCATACTGGTATTTCCAATCTAAAAGAAGATTACATGTTTTTGTATAAATTCCTAATAACATTAAGTTTTATGCAGTTTTCTTCATACACCATTCTGGTTCATTGCCTTTTACTTTGTGCTAACTATTGGGTTGTTGGAAAAGTCATGACGCATTTTTGCAACGGGAAACGTAGAAAACATATGTCATGACTTTTCCAACAACCCAGTATTAGTCACCTCTTCAGACAGCTCAATAGCTGCTCCTAGGAAGCTTTCATAACCTTTAAATGCTCTGTGTCCCTTTGGTACTCCCATGGTACCCTTTGTACCCCTGTCATGGTACTCAGCACATTATACTGTGTATTCTTCATATATACCTCTTCTCAGGAAACCTGTCTCATTTTCCCTTAGCCCCTAGCATAAATACTGTTGCATAGTAGGTTTTCTATGAATGTTGAGCAAAACTTTTTTTGCAGGTTGTTCCTGCTTTTGTTTGGGTGTATTATCCTTTTTTATGCAAAGCAAATACAATATTCAGAAATGAATCTAACATATTTTTATAATCCTTTTAATCTTTCCCTTCCAAATGAGCTTCTAGAGTTAAAAATTATGTCATAGCCTTGCTTTATTGGAGATAAGTAATAAGGTTTAAACTCATCTTATAGTTTGTGTAATTTTTTCCTTTACAGTATGTTTTTACTCAGTACAATAAGCCATTCTTCAGCACCTTTGCAAAAACATCTATGTTTGTTCTGTACCTTTTGGGCTTTATTATTTGGAAGCCATGGAGACAACAGTGTACAAGAGGATTTCGAGGAAAGCATGCTGCTTTTGTAAGTTTAAATTTTAAGTGTTTGTTGTTGAGGGGATATATTTTTTCAAAGTTTAAAGATGTATTAGTTTCTTGAAGGACACTCCACTTTTAAGTTGTTCCATTAAGTGAGTGAAGATATCATGATATAAGAAAAACCTACATTTGTCCAAAATTTACAACTTATTCTTCTAATCAGTTTGGTATCAGAATATCTTGTGAGAAGTCAAAGGTACATAACCACTTTCTCTCCCTTACCTCATGACATTCTCTGAGATGTTAAAAAGTTTTGAGCTCGTGAAAATCAATTAATGTGGAGACGATGATGCAAGAAAGGAAGAAGACAACTAGTCACCTGGAGTCTTTGGCCTTTTTCAGACTGGATGAGTATCATTTAATTGGTTGTAAAGTTGAATGTAGAAGCAAAATAATTTAAGTTTTTATATATTAAAATGAAATACCATATTTCAAGGCATGTTTCAGATGTTTAGCTAATCAGTCAAGTTATATCCTTTCAATGATGTAACATAACATGCTGATTCATGGAAGTAGAAACTGAATATTTAGTAGAATGAAAAATGTAAAACTGTCTCTTGCATTAATCCTTTTTCTTTTCATTCTCCCTTTCTTTTTAAAATTGTGGCAAAATATACATAACATCAAATTTATCAGTTTAACCATTTTTTCCCCCTTTTTGTTATAGTAAAATGTATATAACATAAAATTGATCATTTTTACCATTTTAAAATGTATAGTTCAGTGGCATTAAGTATATTCACTTTGCTGTGCAACCATCACCACCATCCATCTCCAGAACTTTTTCATCACCCCAAACAGAAACACTCTGCCTATTAAACAATCACTCCCATCTCCCCTCCCCTCAGCCCATGCTAACCAGTGTTTTCCTTTCTGTCTCTGTTATTCCTTTTCTTTTATGTGTACTATTTTTTTGTGGGTTAAAATATTATTATTTCTTGCCTTATCTAGTGAGTACATTCTTGAAAAATATACTCATTGGATTTTTGTCAGGGCTTTTCAGTAATTGTTTTTGAGGTAAAGCTTAGGGTATACACTCATGTGCACAAAAGTTTAACTTATGAAAATGTATATATGTACATATCATGTATATATATGCATTATATATATATACACACGTATATATTTTACTTTTCAAAAGTAACATATACATTATAGAAATGCATATACTTTGTAGTATTACATGTAGGAATGTTATGTATACATGTACATTGTCAAAAATGTAGAAAATACAGATAAACAAAAAGAAGTAAGTAAATTCTACCATTCAAGAAATAACTGTTGATAGTATTTCGGCATACATCCTGCCATTCTTTTTCATGTGTGTATTTTTGTTTCATATTTGTATAAAAATGAAATTGTACTGTTATGTGCTGTTTTATAACTTGCTTTCTGTACTTATTAGTATATCATGAACAACTTTCTATGTAATTTAGTATTACTAGAACATTTTTTAAGGTCAAGTATTTTTTAATTGTAGTGATAAATGTTCCTTGTTAAAAACAAATTATTGTAAGAATAAAAATAGTCTATCCATAATCTCACCATTTTAATAGCATTATAAATATTGATACTATCTATAGCTATATATTTATGTGTATATATTAAAAATAATTTATAGTAGAAATAAGTTTAGTCTTACATCTAATTAAGTTTTAAAAAGTTTAGTCTCACAGTTATACCTAATTCATATCTCTTTTAGCAGTATATAAGATGGAACCCTTACCAAAACCCCAAAACTTGCCAGTTTGATAGGTGAACAGTAGTATCTTGTTAAAATGCATTTTTTTTGGTTACTTTTTCATATATTTGTTGCTCAATAGAATTCTTTTGTCTGCTCTCTGTATCTTGTTCATTTTTGTTTTTTTTTTTTGTTAGCTGAGCCATCCTGCCACCTGTTGGCAGCTCAGTGGCAGCTCAGCTCGGGCTGGGACTTGAACCGCTGTTGCTCAGAGCTCAAACCCTTGAGCGAGCTCTTAACCAACTGAGCCACTCGGCCGGCCCTGTATCTTGTTCATTTTTCCATTGAATTTTTCATATTGATTTATAAGCATTGTTAAGAGCATGAGCTCTGGTGTTTGAATCTTGTTCTGTCACTTGCTGATTGTGTGACCTCAGGCAAGTTATTTAACCTCTTCATACTAGAAGCAGGGATAATGATAGGGTAACTGTGGGTATGACACAGCACTAGCACAGTGGTTCTCAAAGTTTGGTCCAGTCCCTGAGATCCATTTAGGGAGTTCTTGAGATTAATACTATTTTCATGATAATACTAAGATGTTATTTGTCTTTTTTACTAACCCATCCATCCTTTTCTTTCCCTACTAATCTGAAATGTTTTAATGGTGTTGTGAAAAGGGCATAAGTTTTGGAGTTAGATTACTTGAATTTTAATCCTGACTCTGTTACTTAGATGAAATCTCTTGTCCTCAGTTTCTTCATTAGTAAGATAAAGATGATAATGCCTGCCTTGCATGGTTGAATACTTGGGCATTAGCTGCTATTATTATTAATAGTTATATTCTGATAGGTCTACTCTGGATTTTTTATTCTATTCTTTTGAGCTGTGACTGATACTAATCTTACTTTATAACATGAGTTTAATTGAGTTTTATGTCCTGTTATCTGTAGTTTGCAGATGCTGAAGGTTACTTTGCTGCTTGCACAACAGATACAACTATGAATAGTTCTTTGGTAAGTGCTGCTTTTCTCGTCAGGAATGGAGCAGTTGGAGTTGAGCCATGGTGGGAAGGACCGAAATAGCTTGAATAACAACACAGCTATATTAGAATATATATATATTGAGTGCTCTCTGTGAGAATTTTAGTTTGGTCTCTCTTTTCTAGTGACACATGAGGCTTAAAAATAAGCAATTCAGTCACCACAGGGGAGAGAGGGGAAGAGGAAAGTAGTTAAGGAGTGAAAATAGTAAAGGAAAGTCCTTTGTCCCTTGTTTCTTACCAACTTTGTCACTTCATGTTTATTATTATATTATTATTACTTAGAAACAAATGTATTTGATTGACACTGAGAATATATAAGTAAATTGTTCATTTATTCCACAAATTTTTAAGAGTACTTAATATGTATTAAGCACTTGTTTTAGACCGGAAATACAGCTTATGTTCTAGTGTGTGTGTAGGAGCGAGAAGGAGACAGATAATAAGCAAGTAAATAAAGTAATTAATATATTCACTTATTTCAGGCATTTATAATCTAGTTGGAGAGATAGTATATAAAAATCTATTCTTTTCAGACCATCACTGAAACATCTCTTTTTCATGTATTGTTTCAGATCTGACATTCTATATGAGGAAAAAATTAAAGTTACTCTAAAGTGTAATAACCAATTTATGAAGCACTAGCTTGTTGACCTTATTGACAGTACAGTTTTTTGTTTGTTTATCTGGCTTGTAGAGCTACATTTGCATGTAGGGTAGGTTACCTGGTGCCGTGAAGAGTTTATGACGCTTAGAGAAAATGTCATTTCTTTCCTCTGGGATCTTAAGCATCAACAAGATTATCAATTGTTTCTTTCGATGTAGAAGGCAGAGCTGAGATGGCAGCCTACTCTTCAAACTACTCTTCTACTAGCTGTTGCTATTATCTGTAAGATGGATGTGTCAAATTGTTCTGGCCAAATGCTGTAATGAAAAGTTAATGTAACAAAGAGACTATGTGTGTGTCTATTTCCAGATTCTTTTCTCTCTTCATTTACTGAATATTTTTCATTGGCAGAGTTTAATACCAGGAGTTAAAAGAGAAATCAAAGATATTAAAAAAAAAATTTGTGTTAATTTAAGAAATAACCTAGTTGGAGAATTGTGCCTTAAATATAGATCATGTGAAGAATATTTGCAAAAACAGTTGAGAAATTTACAAACACTTAAAAATATATGGCTTTAGAGCACAGTTATACAAACCTGGCTTTAATTCTGTTATTTTATATCTCAGCTTCTAGAAAAGTACCTTTAAAATACCATTTTATAAGGTTGTTGCAGGGACTAATGAGCAATGTGTGTTTAACTGCTCTGAATTTGGTACCTGTGCATAGTAAGAACTGATAAGTGGTAGCTTTTTTTTTCTAATCAATTTTATAAAAAGTTTTCAGGAATTTTTGGTTTTAGTTCACTCTTAAGTAGTAAGAGGAAATAATTTGGCAAATATGTGTACATATGATATACATGATTATCTGTTCATTGTCTGCCTTCCCCTGTGGACTACACAATCACTGAGGACAGTGAGTTTGTCTTTTATTCACTCTTATATTCCCAGGACCTAGAACAGCACCTGATATAGTAAGAGCTCAAAATGTATTTGTTAAAAGAATGAATGAAAAGGAATGGGAGATAATCTGTTAGCAGGGAAAGAGGTCTGTTTTTATGACACTTAAATGTTAAATATCATAACGTAACAATGCTGTACTGTTACATTTCTAAACCCTAAGTTGATTCTTTTTTGTCATTGTACCTGTGTGGATCATTTGAGTCTCCTTGTGAAGTCTTGAAAATACATTTTGGGAAAATTATACTGTATAAACATAGTGGCCAGTAGCTGTGTTGTGGGTAGTATCTGTGTCTACATAGCATCCATTTAAATTTTAGCCAATATATCAGCTATTATACTTGCTGTTTATATTTGTTTCTGTTTCTGGTATATTCCAGAGTGAACCTTTGTATGTTCCTGTGAAATTTCATGATCTTCCAAGTGAAAAACCTGAGAACACAAACATTGATACTGAAAAAAGTAAGGAAAACTTAGGATTTCTTATTTTAGAAATGGGTAGAAATTTTAGCTTCATTCAAGCCATCCCCAAACTTAGTGATTGGGGATCAGCAGGCAGCTCTTTTGTTCCACATGGTGTTGGCTTGGCCTGTCGTCTTCCAGAAGTTTGGGAGTTTTTATGAATTCAACTGGAAATAATTTCCAAATACCAGAAATCTCTATGATTTTATTATCTATCTATCATCTATCTATCTATCTATCTATCTATCTATCTATCTATCTATCTATCTATCTATCTTAAAATGAATGATATCCTCTTCAACCATGCCATCACAAACCTTGATAGCAAATTATAGGAGTTTTTCTGGTTCTGTGAATTGAATAAAGAATGCCAGCTTCAACATAAGGCACAGTATTTATGCATCATGTTCTCTTACAAGGATTGGACCTATAGAGGAATGTTCTGCATACTTGACCAGAAAAGTAATTCTCACAAATTGGGTATGAGGAAAAATCCAAACAAAGTTTTATGTATATGCTAAAATAATCATACCATAACCCTGAACCAGGCAGTTGTGTATGTATATAGTTGCAGAAATATTGTTGGAATATAACCTTTAAAACATTTTTATAGATGAACATGTTTTTCCTGTTAACTATTTTGAGTGAGCAAAGGTGCCCCAGGTCATGATATAACTCTGGTTTTCTTTGATTGTTCAAGACTGATTACAGATGGGTTAAATAATATGCATGTATCAGTAAATTAAAACTTGTGACTTTTGTTGGATGCGAGGGAAAACATTTAATGATTTGTTTTATACTTTTTCTTTCAAGCTCCCAAAAAGTCTCGTGTAAGGTTCAGTAATATCATGGAGATTCGACAGCTTCCATCAAGCCATGCATTGGAAGCTAAGTTGTCTCGCATGTCATATCCTACTGTGAAAGAACAAGAATTCTTACTCAAAACTGTGGGGAAACTTACTGCAACTCAAGTAGCAAAAATTAGCTTTTTTTTCTGCTTTGTGGTAGGTCTTCTCTTTATTACATATTTGAACTTGAATTTTAAGACAGTATTCTTTTTTTTTTTTTAAGGTTTTTATTGGGGAATTGGGGGATGGGAACAGCACTGGGGAATTGGGGAAGGGGAACAGACAAGTTGTTGTCCTTTTGTTCTTCAGTCTAGTTGTGGAGGATGTTGCTTTACTGGCCCAAGTTGGCACTATCATTGCGCTCTTCCCGGGCGAGGCAGATCAGTCGCCGGCTTCTGGATGGCCGCTCACTGCGGCTGCTGGCCGCTCACGCTGGCTGCTGGCTACACACGGTAGCTCACGGCAACCCACTGCCACAAGGGGCTGCAGCTTACACCGTCGCCGGCGACTCATGGCAGCCCAGCTCCAGGTTGAGCTGTTGTTCAGCATCTTAGCTGTGGAGGGCAGTGTCACTGGCCCTCATATGTGGGATCCGAACCGGGGCCCTCTGGCGTCCCAAGCCAGTTCTTAACCATCGCGCCACTCGGCCGGCCCAAGACAGTATTCTTACCAACAATGTAATGTTGAAGTGTAAGAGTATTAGGTCGCTTACTCATGACTTTAAACTCTGCTATTTGGTGTCATTGAAGAATTAGAGTATCAAACTTAATAAATGCTTGTCATACCTCAAAGAATTTAAGAAATACTTTATAGCACAGCTACTCATATATACTCAGAATTTGGCATTTCCTCGTGGTCAGAATATTAAATAGAGTTATTTTACACTATGATATATCCAGATAAAAGTTTATACATTTATTTCTTCAAATAAGTGTTTTTGCAGATTTATATTAAATTCATGTAAATGTCAATATTTTAGTGAATAATGATAGTAAAATTTTTACAGAATTTCTTATAATATTGTTGATAGCTTCTCTTTATAGAAACTGAAATATGTACTTATCATATCGCAAAGAATAATCATATAGCAAATCAAATGTTATTTGCGGTTAAGTTGGTATTAGAGATTTGTCTGAGTTAGTAAAAACTGAAATTTAGAAGTTAAAAAATGAATATCAGTTCTCTTTTATAATGTGTCATTGGAAGTTGTCTCATCCATGGTTGTTTAGTATGAGCCTTTAAGATTTAAATTTATACTGAGCATTTTTCAACACTTGATAGTGCAATGCTAATGTCAATATTATTAACCTGATTATAGTTTTTTTATTTTACAATTTTGCCTCTCATATTTACTGATAGCCCATTTTTCTCTTCTGCCTGAATAACCTCTATTTTAGTGATACCTTAATTAATATATTCAGCAATACAAACAAATGAAAAAATATTAGGGAGTTGTAATATGATAGTTACATACATAATAAAATTAATATAAAGGCTCATATCTTTGGATTATGCCATTAGTTCTGATTTCTGTTTGCTTGCTTTAAATAAGCATAAGGCAAGACTAAGATTTATTCATTATATGTTACCTAATTTTCAAAGGACACTTGAGGTGGAGTGTAATTAAAAGGATCTACGTGGTAAAAGTTTTTAAAATGGGGAAAAGATGAGAGCCAGATTAAATGGGTAATGTGTGGCGGTGGGGAAGCTGCTGTGGAATGAGATTATCTGTCAGGAGCTTCGATTTAAGGGAAGAAAACTGTTTCAGGTGAGCACATGGTTCATCTCTAGGCAAACTGGCAGGAAGGCAGAAAGGAAAACCTTAGTTACACAGTATAGTAGATTTGTAGATAGGTATGTGCAGATAATAGCCTTTTAAAAAAATTGTGGTAAAATATACATACCATAAAATTTATCATTTTAATGATTTTTTTTTAAAAGATTTTATTGGGTAACTGGGGGAGGGGAACAGTGTTGGGGAGTCAGGAAGGGGGAACAGACAAGTCGCTGTCCTTTTGTTCTTCAGTCTAGTTGTGGAGGACGTCGCTTCACTGGCCCGTGTTGGTAATATCACTGCGCTCTTCCCGGGTGAAGCAGTGGCTCGCTGGCCATTGGATGGCCGCTCACGTCTGCTGCCGGCCAGCCCCACTGCAGCCTACGCCGTTGCCGGCAACTCACAGCAGCCCAGCTCCAGGTCGAGCTGTTGTTCATCATCTTAGCTGTAGAGGGTTAGAGGGTGCAGCGTCACTGGCCCTCATGTGGGATCCGAAGCAGGGCCCTGCTGCTCAGAGCTGGCGTTCCAAGCCAGCTAACCAACGTGCCACTTGGTCGGCCCTCATTTTAACAATTTTTAAGTGTACAGTGTAGTGGCATTAAATAAATTCACATTATTATACAACCATCACCACCATCCAGCCACAGAACTTTTTTCATCTGGCAAAACTGAAACTCTGTACTTATTAAATGATAACTCCCCACCCTTCTCCCCCAGCCCCTAACAGCTGCCATTCTACTTTCTGTCTCTATGAATTTGACTACACTAAGTACATCATATAAGTGGAATCAGACAATATTTGTCCTTTTGTGACTGGCTTATTTTACTGAGGATATTGTCTCCAGAGTTCATCTTTGTGGCATGTATTAGAATTTCCTTTTTAAGGATGATTAATATTCCATTGTATGTATATACCACATTGTTTACCCATTCATCTGTTGATGTATACTGGGGTTGCTTCCACCTTTAATAGTCTTTTTTTTTTTTAATAAACCTTAAATAAGTCACAAGTGCAGAAAGTTATATTAGTCTTAGTAAAGGCATTTCTACAGAAAGTCAGAATAATATAGTCCAGACCTATAGCTTTTTTGGAGACTTAATAGAGTGATAAGCTCAGATGAGGTCTAGAGCTGTGCTGTTCAATAGAAATATAATGTTAGTTTCAAATGCAGGTCACATATGTGTTTTTAAATTTTCTACTAGCCATGTTAAAAAGAAACAAAGGAAAGTAAAGTTAATTTCAATACTATATTTTTATTTAAGCTATTATATATAAAATATTTCAACATATTATCAATATAAAAATTATTGATGAGGAAATTTACATGTTTTATACTAAAGTCTTCTAAACATTTCCATTTTTAAACATTTTAGTTTCTGTTTCATTCCAATTTCAGTTTTTATTTCAATTTTTAAACATTTCAGTTCAGGACTAGCCACATTTTAGTTGCTCAGTAGCCAGCATGTGGCTGTTGGCTAGTGTACTGGACAGTACAGGTCAAAAGGAGTTCGTGATTATTGTATTTACCAGTCCTCCTTTAATTTTTTTTTGTATCATTAGGGTTTATGATGTTTTATTTTCTGTAAAATAAAATTTAGGTTATATAGGCTTTACCATGAATACCTTTTATTATAATTTAAAAATGGATTATCATTCATGAAATAATTAGGTATTATATAAATTATTTTAAATCTGTTCACTATTAGTAAGTGGTTGTTCTCAACTCTGGCATAATGAAAAGAAAAATTGTAAAGGTAATTTTTATTGGAGGACAATTAGGATGGGTCTTCTTTTGTGATGAGGTTACCTTGAGTTTGAGCCAGAGAATGGAGTTTTGGGAAAGGTAGAGAATGGGGAGGTCTTTCTGGAAAGAGTTCATAGTTAATGAAGAGTTGTTATGATTTTTGAATGCCTGC